ACTTCAAAATAAGATATGTGCAGTGTGCACAGGAATTTGTTCATAGTTTTTTTTTTAAACTATAATCCGGCCCTCCAACAGGTCTGAAGGACAGTGAACTGGCCCCCTGTTTAAACAGTTTGAGGACCCCTGACCTAGAAGGTAGAGAGAAAATTTTGAAACACTACCCATACCTCTAATTTGTTAAAACCTACTGGATAAAACTAAGTATCTTAGTATTTCTTGACTCTTCCTTATTGCTCAATTCCCATTACCATCTTAATTCTAATCCTGTAAAAATCCCTATTAGCTTAAACACATTCTAATAATCTCCCTGTCTCCAAGTCCAACCTCTTACACTCTATCCTTCAGCCGTAGTCTCAAACCCATCCTCACCAGAGTACAGAATAATCTTTGAGGTGCAAATCAATCACATCACTTCCCTGTTTTATACTCAAACATCAAGGCAAGAGTCTAAATGCCCTATTCTACAACCCCCCCTCCCATGTCCCCGCTGACGGGCTGGAGTAATCTTCCTTAGGTAAGGAATGAAGTCGGAGGATGGCAATAAACCATGTCAGACCCTGGTTCTTCAAGGAGGGAATGCAGCTAGTAGTTCTTTGGGTCTTCTTTCCAACATAATTACTAATCAATTTCTTTGGATGAAATTAAAATGACCCCTTATCAAAACATATCAATATCCCTGAATTTTGAGTGAGGTCTTTCACAAACACTGTAACTCCTAATAAGATTTTTCAAACAGCTTTAACTCACTAGATGCTTCTCTTCAAGCAGTATCTAATGCAAAATCCCATAAAATGTGGTTGCAAACAGTGTTTCTGAGGCTGACAATAGCAGCAGAATTTAAAATATTTAGAACTATATAGGCTCTTGAATAAAATTCAGATTCAGTTAGGTGCATGCAAAGTCTATGAGGATATGAAGTTGGGATGTAATAAAATCTAACTTGTATTTCTGAAAGGCCATTCTGATATGTGTGAAAGAATTGAAGATAATGATAATTTCAATATTTCTGATATACGTTCACCACCTATAAATAGAGGTATGCACTTTCCAGTTATTGGTTATTATACAGGAGTTACAGAATACCTGATCCTCACTGGTCAATCCAAGGTGCATCACCAGGTAAAAATGCACCAGGAAATCAGAATTTGGCAGAATGTCTTGCCGTCTGGTCATCATGGCACAGATCAGTCTGTAGGCTTGTAGTTTGCCTTCCTTGTATTCATTTGGCAATGTTGTTGCCTGCCAAGGAGAGGAGGTTTAAAGATTAATCAACTCCAAAGTCCCTTTCCTTTTCCGTTTTCCACATAAGAGTTGTTTATGGAGATGTGGGATGCAGTAGTCTATCTTCAACTTCAAAACATGCAAGCCTGGGCAATTACACTGTTTAAACTCAATTTCACAGGAGAAGAGAAAACTGCAATAAAAGAACAAAGATATCCGCTTGCCTTGAAAAGCCATGGTGCGAATATTCTCAGTGGTGGAATTAAGGCTGGAGGACACGGAGAGGACTGGTTATCCGGGCTTATTGCTAAATTGTCCCGTATCTGGTACACAAAGAGGAGACGTTAAAGAAAGGCAACATTCAACTTATCCCAAGGTTATTTGAATATTATCTTCCATAGCCTAATAGGTGTTCCCATATAAGTTTTAGAAAAACCTAACACTATTTACCAAGTTTTTAGCATTGTGAGCACTACTGTCCTTCTAAGTTGTGTAGTTTGGCTAGTGTATTCTATATTTAAAACAAAAAAGTAGGGCACTGTTTTTCCTTGAATGGAGATATACTGAACGCCAAGTAGTAAATAATATTGTACAACATGAACCACATGTTTAAAGAACTTGAATTTTAAAAAATGTATGCTAGAAATAAAAATTGGACTGAAAACTAAGATTTTACTTTTATAAAGATGCATTTATTCATAGAAATAAGGCTATAGTATTGGTTATGCTTATAGGATGATGTTATTAGTATATTCCTTCAGTTTTCAAATTTTAAACAATAAACACCTCTATGGGCCCCATGGAAGAAAAGTCCAATCTACTTCTGAAAAAATCAAGCCTTTGACGATCCTATGGAGCGAGCACAATTCTGCTCTGCCACACATGGGGCTGCAAGTCCAAGTGAACAGCACTTGGTTTGGTTTTTGGTTTTCTATGGAGAATTACTAAAACTACTGAATCCCCTCTATTTAACGTCTTAGAGTAACAATCAAGCCGCCGCAGTGGCACAGTGAGCAGAGCTTCGCTGCTTACTGAAAGGCATTGCTCAGCATTCGTTTTAGGAACTGTTTAGGGCTCTTCTACTCCCCATAGACCCCCTAGGGTCATAATGAGTGGGAATTTATTTGACAGCAATAGGTTGGAGTAATATTTTATTTATGTGCTAAATGAAAGAATTCTTTTGTATTTATAAAAGAGCCATGATTACTCTTTCTTTAATAATCAAGCAACAACAACAAAAAAAATCAAGCCAAAAAACCCCAAACACCCCAAAACTCATTGCCATCGTGTCAATTACAACTCATAACAACCCATGTGTTAAAGAGCAAAAGCACTCCGTCGAGCTTTCTTGGCTATAATCTAAAGAGAGGCAGGTTGCCAGGTCTTTCTTCCATGGTACTGGTAGATGCGTTTGAACCGCCAATTGTTAGGTTAATAGTAAAGTGCAAGCCACATGGTTTTAGGGGCTTCTCTGTCTTAGTAATTAAGTACAATACAGTTTTTACATTAAGTGATAAATGAGTTTCCCTACATTAGAATAAAAGGTAAGGTAGCAGAACATACCTTTGCTAGTTTGTACCAGAGTTCATAGAGATACCCAAAAACTTTGGCGTGGATCTTAGGTGACTGGATATTATTCACATCGCCAAGTATTCCTAAGGCTCTTCGCCATAACACAGCAGCAGAATCTGGATGCCAGCCAGTGAGGTTCCCGCCAGCAATAATGCTACAATCATCAGCGAGGCATTCACTACTATCTATAGAAAAAAGTGTATATATTAGCCATGGAAACACAATCCTCATTTCATAGCACAGTTTTTCTTCTTTAATACAGAATACTTTGGTTAAAATTTATGTATTCAGAGGAAAAAAAATAAATTAAATATGTGAAATGGCTGGGAAGTTGAAAGGATGAGATAGCAAGATCAACGCTGAAAAGTCAAATAGCCGTGCTTCTTTAAACTGAGCAACAATCTAAATATGACATAATAGTCCCAGAGAGGATTTCAAGAGGATTATTAAGCCAAGTTGAGAAATAAGAAGAGCTTTGTTCAGGGTGCACTGGAGACAGTACCATGAAAAACAGGTAGTGAGGGAGGGCGTAGTGGCAATAGGGACATTTACTGATGTTGTTATAAAAGCAAATCAAATTCATTGTCATATATTCTAACTCATAGCGATACCAATGGATAGATTAAAACTATCCCAGAATGTTTTCAAGGATGTAAGCAGATCTCCACATACAAGAGGGTACCAAAAGAAAAACAAAACAGATTTGTTCCCCCAAAGCTCTGTATTATCTATCTATCTATCTATCTATCTATCTATCTATCTATCTATCTATCTATCTATCTATCTATCTATCTAATCTACCTATCTACCTATCTATCATCTATCTACTTTTTTTAACAAAAACCTGATCACCTTCAAAGTTCTCTCCATGTTACTTAATACATTTGTCAAATCTGTGATTCCATTCTTGGAAACATTTTTCAAACTCATCTGTTTGGATGGCTGACAGCATCTCCCCGGTTTTTTCTTCACCTCTTCTAAATATTCAAATCGCTGTCCTTTCATGTCTCTCTTCATTCAAAGAAACAAAAATAAGTCCTACAGAGTGGGGTCAGGTGAGTAAGGTGCATGGGGTGAGAGGCACTCAGTTTTTTGCCCAAAATTGGAACATGGAGATGGCTGGGTGAGCAGGTGCACTGTTGTGTTGGCAAAACCATTTCCCCATCTGCCACAAATTAGGCCTTTTTTCTTGTACACTGTTAAGCTCTCTTTTCAGAACCTCTAACTAGAAAGCTGGATGAACAGTCTGACCTGGTGGAATGAACTCCAAAGGCACTACATGTTTGTCTGTTTTGGAAGCTGTCATCAATAGACATTTCACCTCTTTTGAAACCAGGAAACCATTGTATACTTGAGTTTTTCCCATAGCGCTGTCCTTGTAAACTGCATTTAACATCACAACAGTTTTGTGGCATGTTTTCCCAAGCAGGAAACAAAATTTCACAGCCACACGCTGTTCTCTTAAATTGGTCATCTGAAAAAACGAGTTTTGAGCAAAATTGCTTTTATGAAGAAATTGAGTGTGACCAGAGAGAACCTTCCTAGGTGATGCATATGGTTGCACTAACTCAGAGTGAGTTGTTCTCTGCTTGCCTTGAGGAAAAAAATGAGTACTATGAAAACTCCCAGCAAAGCTTTTTTCCTGTTTTGGGGGGTACCCCCTTGTATAGTGCAACCACTATGAAAAGTGGTAAGGTGCTCGCCTAAAAGATCTCCCTTAAGCAGATGATGTAAGATATTAAAATAATAATAATTTATAAATTATCAAGAGTTCATGAGGGAGGTAGGGCGGGGGAGGGAGGGGAAAATGAGGAGCTCATACCAAGGGCTCAAGTAGAAAAAAAAAATTGAAAATGATGATGGCAACTGTGTTAGACAGGGTTCTCAAGAGAGATAAAACCAAATTGCTGATAATTTAAT